TCTCCTCCGTTCCGTTTCTTATTTCTTATTTTCGTTTTTGCCAACATTTTTTCTATCAATTTCCAAATTGCTAAATTTCAAAAATCCTACACTTTTCTTGCTTTAATAGTTAATTTGGCATTTCGTTTCGTTAACGCTCACACAATTCCAGGTTCCGAGGACCAGCCGAGAGATGGAAGCGTCGAAAGTTATGCAGAAGGATGTTTCACAATGGAGAAGAGCCGTAGCCAAAGAAGAATAACTTAAATGAAGAAAGACACAGATCGGAATAATCGACGGAGAGTAACTCGGAAGCGGAAAATAGGGCGAAAAAGGGACAGTGTATAAGAAGAATGATGACGTATGAAAGAGGACAACGTTTAAATAGAACCACATCTGACCAACTTGCAAGAGAAATAGGAAAAAGAAATGGAGATCGTCGAGACTAAACAAATGGAAGAACCATGGATTCCACACGATACGAGATACCGAACTCCAATTGTCGGAATTTAGGAAATTTATCAGAGTACAAAGCAGCTGTTGCCAAAAGAAGGAGAAAAAAAAAATGGTAAAAGAAAAAAATAGAAAAAAAAAGAGAAAATCTAAAAAAAATATTAGAAAATGTGGTTTCTGAACTGAGTCGAGTCTGGATCAAAAGGCGGAATCTATTTGAAGAGACTGAAATTAATGATGAAAATTTTCAATTCTTTTCGGTCGCACACTTTAGGACTTACAAGTGAAAATCTTTTATTCGAAAAACGAAGAAATTGCGATAACAATGGAGAAGCTTTTTGGAGGATTTTTGGAGAGAAGATTTTGAAACGAACAAGTTCTTCGAAACACGATGCAGTGAAAATTATTGTTTTATACTCCAGACACGTCGAAATTGTAGGAAAATTATGAAAATTCTCAGCGACCAATGAAGAAGAAATGGATATCTAAAAATGGGCAAATGGGAAAATCTACAAATGGGCAAAAATGATTTACAAAGGAAACCACATCTAAATTAAAACATTTCAGATACCTCACTAAACGAAATTAGAGAATTGTTTAAAGTAATCAGCTAAGACTGCCAAAAGAAGAAAAGGAGAAATGTGTAAAATATAGTAATTAATTCGTTATCATTTGCTCTTTTGAACTGTACGAAAAAAGAAGAATTGAATATTGTCGGTGTCGTCGATGAAAATTTTTTATTTGGGTTATTTATGAACTTTATAAATCTGTGGCATTGAATTAAAATATTAGGCGACGAGAAAGAAGAAGAAAACAATTTATCGTTAAGGTGAACATTGTTTTGGTATATTTAAAGTCAAAATTACTCACTTTTCGGAACGAACTGGGACAAAGTAATTGATATTTTCGGTGAGTAAAATTCTACATTAGAATTTAACATATTTCCAAATTGTATTCTTCATTTCGAATCATGTTCACGTTACGATAACCATGAGTGAAAAGAATTTGTGAGATATGGATGGTGTAAAGTGTTGAAGATCGTTCTAGTTAACGTTTTACGATCGTTGAAAGCATAAAAAGAAAAAACAAAAAGAGAGGTGCTCAATTAATGTAATTGTTCTCGTTTTTGTTCGTTAAGTTTGCTCCTCGTTTGTTAATCAGTTGTTGATTTTCGAATGACGTTACATAAAAAATTTCCAGTTTCTTGTTACGAAATTTAATCGTATTTCCTTGTTATTGTTAAGTTTGTCGTTCTCTCTTGTTTTCCGTTAATGTTAACACGCCAGCTGTTAAAGTTAATGTTTTTCTCGCCCGAAACAGAAATATCGAAGTTAACGTTGATCCGAGTTGTGTTTTTGTTTGTACTTTGAAAAGAAGAAAAGAAAAAAAAAAGAGAAAGCAACTATTTTACGTTGAAAGTATCGAATACAGATATATTTACGCATAAGATATTCAACGATAAATTGTGTGTAAAGATGCACTCTAGCATACTTTTCGCGTAAAATACGCTCGCTTGGACAAAGTTTCACACGGACATTCTGTTTCACTTTTATATGTAGTTGGTTAAAAGGCAAAATCTGTTTTCAGTCGTTTCTTGTTTCACAGAAGACACGGTTTTTTGTTTACTGTTGAATTTTGTTGAAAATGAAGTTGATTATTCGATTAGAAAAAAGAAAAGAAACTGAACAATTGTTCCAGGTTCGGCAAAGAGAATGGGGAACGGAAATTGAGAAGTAGAAAAAAAAAATGTTTTTTCAATTGTTTCTCTTATTCGTCTTTTGTATAATTCTTTGGTTCTCACCGCAGTGCCTTTAGTTAATTATCTAATCGATCACGTTAATTGTTCGTTCATGATACCATAAATCCGTGAATGAATGACTTACACCATTACAAGCTAGTGTACGATTATTATTATTACGATACAATACATGAATGGATTAATCGTCTGTTTAATTCATTCATTTATTTGTTTACATATTATTGAACTAATTTTAAGATTATAATTTTTTGTATTCAATCCCTTGTTTATATGAACTACCACCGATTGCTATCGTCAATTACCGAACAAGTGAATAATGAAAGTTAACTGATTCACTTGTTCGATAATTGATCAACACGATTGTTAACGCGTGTCGTTGGTTCATCGAACAACGTGTTAAATTAACGAATGTGTGTATTGATTGAAAAGAGAAAAAGAAACGTATTCGAAGAAAAAAAAGGAAAACGTTGAACCCAGTGAGGCGATCATGTGATTATTCATTAATGGATTCGTGTGTTAATTAACCAATGTAATCTGTAATTATCCTTAAGTAATGCGTGTGTACGAGTGAATTTTTACCATTACCATGAACAATTCGATTTCGATTCTGTATCCTTGATATGTATGCCTGTGAACATTAATGAACAACGAGAGAAGAATTGACTAATTACGTGTGTAACAATGTTTAAACAATGTTTCGACGTATAAAGTGTACCGTGTACGAGATGTATAAATAAAGAAATTATTTACGTAATTAACCGTACTTTCTATTCTATTTACTTACACTTCGAATTTACCGATTACGTAGTCCTAGAGAAGAAGATTTACCTATTTCTTCCACGGTGAAACAACTGTTTAAAACAGATCACCGTTGAGTTCCATATAAATCTCCGTCGACCTTGAACTCTCGAATATTTCAAACTTTATATTTACCTAGACCTTCCTGTTTGTCGGGTTTAAAATTCAAACGATCGCTTCCGAAGATATTCTTCACTTCGGGCGAACATTTTTTTTTTCTTTCCGAAAAGCGGCCGAATTCGTCGAAGTTTGTGACTGAGAAAGAAGAAAATGAACAAAAATCGACGTGTGACGAAATGTTGCCCTCTGTTTTAATGGGATATCCTGAGGATGCACGACCGGGGGTAAACGGACGAGGGAAAGCGGTGGAAAAAAAAAGAAGAAGAAGAAGAAGAAAAAAAAGGAACAAAGGAGAGTGTCGTGGAAAATAAATGCGGAAAAGTGTAGGACTAAAGATAGAAACAGTCGGAAACTGATCGACAGTATTGATAAAACAAAACCTGGAAAAGAGAAGACAAGGAGGGCAAGCAGAAGCAGAACAATTCGCGATAGAAGAAAAGATATGCAACAAGGCCTTGGAAATCGGTCGTGGCTGTACACAGTTCTAAGCGGAAAAGTATGGTAATCGATGTGATCGGTTCGATCGACATTCGCTGGAAAGACTAGGTATACGATTTAACGCTGACAAATATTCCTCAACATTAGAATAGCCACTATGCGTTATGTATTACATTTCATAAGCGCCTCGCGATATGGCTTCTCTTGGTAAACAATCTTCACGTTGTAATTTTCTCAGGGAACATTCATTAAGAATGTAACATTCCCTCACTTTCGTCGATCTATCGATTACTATTGATAATTGAATTTCTTAAAAAAAAAAAAAAGAAGAAGAAGAAGAAGAAGATAAGGAACTCTAAGGAAGAAATATTTCTCGTAACGATTAATTCGATAATTTTCAAGGCGCAGTTTCTTCTTTCATTCGTAGACGAGAAGAGGCAAAATTTCGTGTGAATTAGAGATCTGATTGACTGGAGAACGATCGATCCTCCGTAATAGAAACGGTCGAGGATCGTAGTCCACTACGGAAAGGTATAAAAGGCTGTGTCTAAGGATGAAGTGGCTCAGTCGTTCGAAAAACGATCGAGGGTTCGGAATCAGTCTGGAGGGCCCTAGCAGTGCACTCCATCACCACTTTTTCCAATCCTATCTTGTGCTTCCCCCGAAATCATCGTTCCCAATATTATTGTCACCTGTTGAATAAAATATCAGATTACAGCTGATAGATCGAGAAAGCAAGGGTCTAATAACCGAGAGACTAGAAAAAAGAGAAGAAGAACACACGGTGGATAAGAGAAAGGGGGGATCGAGGCTGTTAACGAAGAAAAAGACGCGTGGAAGAAGGATAATACGAAAGTGAGTAAGAAGATATTAAGCGGAAGATTAGAAAAAAGGGAGAAGAAAAAGAAGAAACTCGTAGATCTAGAGTATCGACGAGAAGAGATATCATATCCTCTGTGAGGATCCGTTCTGTATTTTTCGTAAAAAAATTCTCATCGATATACACGAGCCTGTACGAACGAAGGATTAAAGATAACAAAGTTTGAAAGACAAGTGCACGGAACAGGTGGAGGAAAATATTAAAAGAGAGGGGCAAACAAGAGCAACGAGAGGAGGAGTGGGAATAGTGGAAGAGGAAGAAAAGAAAGAAGAGAGAAAAGGAAGAGCAACGGGGGAGAAAGGAAGGAAGGAAGGAGCGAGGTAAAGGGAGAATGGTAAAAGAAGGAAGGTAGCGAAGAGGGAAGAAAGAAGGCAAGAGCAGTGGAAGGAGGGAAGGAAGGAAAAAGAGAAGAGGCCGAGTGGAAGGAGAAGGAAGGGAGAAAAGAAAGAGAGAAAGAGGGAGAGCGAGAGGAACGAGAATAAGAGAGGTGGTTCCGAAGGTGTTCCGGAGGGACAAGTTTTTAGAGAGCACTTGCTTTTCTTCGTTCGGGGGCAGAGGGTGAAGAAGACAGCGATGGCCGGATGGTGGAGCATCGGTGATGCTTTTCTTATGCTTTTTGGTATTCTCCTTGCTCCCTATTTGTACAAGTTCAACTGGATCAAGGTGAGTCTTCTTCGATACCATTGCCCGGTTTACCTACTTATATCGCATCTTTTAACTTTCCTCCTCGCGGCTTTCATGATTCTAACTGATCGACATTTTCTGTTTATAGAAGAAATGTGAACCTAATCAAAAATTACACGTCAATTTGTTGTATAGTTGAAAAAATTGCCAATGACCATTTAGTACTGAATTTTTATCAAACAACAAGAATTCCACTGTGCTTATTTTTATCGTATATCTGTAAAAACAAAAAAAGAAAAGTAGAAATTTTTGTTACCACGCTCGAAGGTATGAAATTTCAAAAAGCCCGATGAAACTTCGGGACAGCGTTAGATTTCCGTGGAATTAAATTTCAACGAAGGACGAATCGAGACTGCTTTAAAGTTGCACGCGCTAATCTTTTTTTTTTTCGCTAAAAGTGTTTTTATTTAAAAAGAAGAAATAAACGATAAATTTTTTTTTAAATATTACCTATACGGCAAAAGGATCAGAATAGCAGGTAATACATCAGCTTAATCGAAAATAAGAATTACTTGATTAAAATGTATGGAAAGGGACGATAGTAACTTACAAATTTAACGGACGCTCTTTTCGATTTCTGCCGGTGGAGTTTACAAAGTTTAACGCAGACGAGTCGGCAACGGGTGCGAACAGAGTCCGTCGCGATGACATTATGTTTACAAATGAGAAAGCAGATTTCTTTTTGCACGTGACATCGTAAAGCTAGAGGAATCCTTTTTCTTCGTATCAGCGGTTCTTCCTATCCTTAATACGATACCGCGACGCACGTCGATGTAGTGGCAAATATTTAACAGCGTAAAATATATCATTTAGAACGAACAAATCTAATTATCATCTTAATCTTAAATTTATCATATCACATTGTCGAAAGGTAATAACTTGATCGAAATTTTCATACCAAAACACCACGTTGAATTTTAACCGATCTTCTATATCTTTATTTTTAGCCTTAACGAAAGAATAATTGAATTTTCTAAGGTAACACATATAAATAAAATTTCTTTTAGGATCTAAGGCTAGAAGGTGACAGTAAAACAGTTTTAGCAAATCACTTGGAATCGAAGAAACGTAAATTGGGGAAGCTTCCTCCGGTTTATCCGAACGGATGGTTCGCCTTGTTAGAAAGTTCTCAATTAGAAAAAGGTCAAGTGAAACATGTCGCTGCTCTTGGACAAAATTATGCCGTCTTCAGGTATTTCGAGACTCCTCTATAAAATAGTTAAATAATTTACCGAGCAGAGGTGTACACAATTTTCTCCAGATTTTTATGTGTTTGATAATAATAATAATATTCCTTTAAAGGACAGATAACGGGACGGTGAGGATTTTAGACGCTTACTGTCCTCATTTGGGTGCAAATATGGCTGAGGGTGGTCGCGTAAAAGGTGATTGCTTAGAGTGTCCCTTTCACGGTTGGCAATTTCGTGGTTCCGATGGACAATGCGATCACATCCCGTACGCCGACAAAGGTAATTTCATTTACAACGTTCTTCAATTATATTGCACATCTTCGAGCTGCAATAAAATGTTTTGAACAGTATTTATTCAATATTACCTGTATAATTATGTTGTTTTTCTTTTTCTTTCTTTCTTTCAATGCCATACCGTATACTTGATTTTAGTGCCTCATATCGCAAGAACAAAAACTTGGAAATGCTGCGAAGCTAATGAAATCATCTTCGTTTGGCATCACGCTGAAGGATTAGAACCAACATGGCAGCCGCAAACTATGAACTTAATTTCAAGTCGAGAGTGGCGTTATCAAGGTCGAAATGAATTTCTTATCAACTGCCATATACAGGTCAGTTTAATCAATTTGAACACGATTTTCATTTTTAATTCTTTACAATATCGTTGCAACGACAAGAAGAAATGTTTCATAGAGGATCTTGCTTCTAAGAAGTTCAGATTTGAATCTTTACGTAGTATGGGAACTATCTTGAGAGATAATGTCAGAATGTTGCGAGAAAGTTACATTTACGATCTTATTGAAAAAGTTGAAAAATAACGTTAACAAGAAATTTAGAATGTAGAAGGATATTTGAGCGAGAAACTGCTTGAATCGATCATGGAAACTAAAATCAAGGAAACCAAGTTGCCATTAATCATTAGATCAACGACGATCTTTTAGTGGTCTTCTTCTTCTGTTTCCTTTTTTTTAGATATGTGTTAAGTAAAGCTGATGGATATTTGAAATAAGAAATGGATTATTGGAGTCCTTGATTGCAGCCTCCATGACGAACCCTATGAACGATAATCGTTGTTTTGGGTTTGAACAGGTAAGGAATTAGTGTTTACCGTCCCCAAACTAAAACGAGATATTGCTATTACATTAATCGATAAGATGAGCATAATTTTACAGTTAAAATACGATAATTTAGGGAATACATACGTTCGAATAATTTGAGAACGACAAATGGGAAAACTCGAAAGATAACGTGAAATTATGTTTAAGGATCGAACGAAACTTTGGGGTTTTAATTATATGTTTTAGGAAGTCGCTGAAAATGGCGCCGATTCCGCACATCTCAGCGCAGTCCACGGTCCAGCGTTATTTTCGAAAGGTGGTAAATTTTCCTCTTCCATCGCCCGTCATTCGTGGTCGAATGTTAATTGGGCACCGCACAAGTCCTTCCTAGAATTTCAAAACTCCGAGGGAGCTAAATCGAAGGAGCAAGACGCTGAAAATTTAAGGCACAGAGCATACATGACTTTAAGGCACACCTTCGTTCTGTTCGAGAAATTCGAAATTATGGAATTAAATGTGAACGTTCAACAAATCGGTCCAGGATACGTTGAACTGATGATGGAAACTTCTGTCGGAACTATGTGTATTTTTCAGACAGTGACGCCAATGGAACCCCTTCTACAGAAGGTTCTGATTTTATTTATATTTTTAAGAAAATATGTAATATTTTTAAATCTTTGTATATTTTTCTTTTTTCTTTTACTTCTCTTATTTCATAACGTATATTAAACGAGTAAGATTCTCTACAAGAGAAGGACGATGTATCTGTTTTTAAAAGAGAAAATTTTTAATTTCGGTAAAAGAACTTTTATTGTTTTTAATTGTCAGCTGTTTTTTTTTTTATTATAACGTAAGATAAATTGTCTACTATGTTAATATTGTTATCATTACTGTTATTACTAGGTAACTCATTTGCTGTATTCTCGTCCGCTGATTGGTCCGTACGCTAGGATTTTATTCCTAGCAGAGTGCTTAATGTTTGAAAGGGACGTGGCTATTTGGAATCGAAAGAAGTTCGAGAAACAACCGCTTCTCGTCAAAGAAGATAAAAGTATACTCGCTTATCGCAGGTGGTATGCTCAATTTTATTCGCAACGTAGTCCCAGTTATCATTCTGCCATCAAATCGCTACAATGGTAGCCATACCTTTTCTTTTTGTTATAAAAGATTTTTTAAACATTTGATAACACACAATAAGATTTTATAGTATCAGTGACAACTGTAATAATAATAGTATTATGGAGTATAATAAATAAGTACTTCTTAATGTAATACAATATATAAATACCGATTTTATTCTTACAATGTTAATAACTTCTTAGATATAACTGGAAAATATGACATATTTCATTTAAAATTCAAATATGTATTATGTAAACGATTATGTTATTACTTTTAAGTATTACACTATTAAATATTCCTCAATGAAAACAGATTGTATACGTTCTATAACTCTATTTCCTCCCTTGTAACCAATACTAGACTACAGCTAATCAATATTGGACAGGACATTATTAAAACATTTATCATATTATGAGCAATCCAAGAATTGCGTAGCCCAAGTCTAATTAGAATAGACGTCACGTGATTGGTACGTAAATCACGTGATTCGAGCTTCAGTTGATTGGTTAGTGGGATCAGTGGCGGCTCTTCAACGCTTGAAAAGCAGTTAAATTCCTGTATAGTGCGATTCCGTTCTCGTCGTGCGAAGGAAGATCATGACTCCCGAATTAGATTTGGATGATGTGAGTAATTTAAATTTCTCGCGGTTTTCCTTTTGGCCAATCGCATTTAACCTTGTACTACTTTAATACTTTGGCGGTCAAACTGTTGAAATATAACCTAACTTCATTAAATGTTTGTTACTATTCGTCCAATAATCGTTATTGATTATAATTTAGTTTGTAAAATATAGAACGCATTAGAAATTAATATTTATATAAAAAAATTGATCAGTAATTATATGTATTCAATACTAGAAAAAAAAACGAATGTAGTAAAATAAATATTGATTTATTTTTGTTCTTTTGCAAATTTACTTGCGCAATATTCAACTTTCTTACAAAATTATACCTTATCCAAAAAATATAATGAAAAAAATATAATATATAATAATTATTATAAAATAATATAATAAAAATGATTTCTATTAATACGTACTAATAAATGAAAACATTTTGAAGAGCTTGACAACGTTAGAAAAAATATAATTTTAAAAAAAGTGAAAAAAGAAAAATAATTTTTATATACATTTGTAAAACATAACAATTAGTAAGTTAATTAATTAGTAAATAAATATAACTAAATAAAATAGAAACAGCTGTACAATTTTTTTTGTTTATGTAACGTCAAGTACTATACTTTGTATAATAATACTTCGTTATTCTCATTGACAAGGACTAGTAGATAATTTCCGTCAGATTGAACCAATAAAAAGATAAGAGCCATTAATTGAATTTGAATTTTAAATCTATAAATAACATTTTATAAAATATAAT